GCAGGAATTTCACCACTAAATGCAGTGAAAACACAGCCAGGCTAGTGATTTTCTAACACTTGAAGGCAATTACTTTTATTTTAAAATGCCAGAATAGCCTCCCACTCTGGTCCAGTTCTCAGCCTGAGGCTGTAGCCCTGCCAGCACTGGTAATGTCATTGTTTGGGAAGCGTATTCCCAGTCTTGCGTACACCCACGCAGGGCTCCCAGCTCCTGGCTGCGATGTTCCCCCCACTGCATTGTTCCAGCTCCCCCTGCTTCCTTGCCCCCCACCCTGGCCCCCCGCACCATTGTCGTCCCCCTGAACCCACCCTGCATTGTTCTCACGCCCGCCCACTATCCCCACCCGGGAGGGACCCTTCCTCCCTCCCACTCCCCGCAACAGCTCAGGCTTCTTTCTTACCTACTTCCACATATCCCACTGACCTTATGCCATGAAAACATCTTCCCTTTCTGAAAGCACATTACATAAACTACCGTTACTAGATCCACAGCTTTTGTGAGCTGTGGGCGCTCTGCCTTGAGAAGCCCTGTCAAAAGTCTCTTAAACAACATGACATTTCTTATTTCATTGCTATGACTTCAGATCAGGCCCAAAATCAAGACTGATAGAAAGCGGTTTTGCATTTTCAAATAGGATGTAGAAGACTAGAGAGAAAATATGTTGTCACTACAGAACAGAAATACGTAATAAGACATATACATAAAGACTGATGTTATTACATTACTCTGTTACTACAGTAAATAAAAGTGAAATCCTTTCTAAATTGTGCTTCTTCTCTTTCATGTATAAAAACAAGTACAGCTAAAAAGGTACTTCTAAAAAAAAACAAAACACACAAAACAAGGCAAGCCCCACATTCAAGTATTCAAGCTGCAGGCTAACACTTTCAGAAATTTCTTATTTATTTCTATATCTACATTTCTAGATATATAAAATATAGGATTTTTTTTTTTCATTTACCAAGCAAGCAATGATTGAATGTTTTTTTAAAAAAATTAAAACACACAGAAACAGATGAAGTCCGCTGTCTTCTCATTATTTTGGTCACCTTGCTCTTTGCTTCACTCTATTTTGTACATCCACAAGGTCTTTTGAAACAGCTATCTGTACTGTGCCATTTTTTTCATATAGGCATACAGAGATGCTAATCCTAAATTTTTACACACTTCCTATTTTTTCCTATGATACTGCACTTTTGTTGCATTATTGCTTTTAAAATTATACTTCCTCTTTTCACAAAATCACATTTATTGTACACAGTATGACATTTAAACTGTTTTCCATGCTCAAAGTAAATTTTTACTAATCTTTGGGAAGAGCACATATATACATGTGTGCTTAGAGTAGATTATGAAGAGAAACAAAACCAAACAACTCATTTTATTAATAAATAATATATTTCATCGCATGAAAAAGTCTTTTAACTCTTACCATGGCTTATGCGATGAAAACAGTAGTATGCAAAGTCCACTCCCAGGAGGGTCAAATACCACGTCCATTGTGAGTCCCAGGGCAGTTCAACGAGTCTGTAGTTATTCCATATGTAGATATAACTAATTAAGTCAACACTTCTAAATAAAACACTGAAATAGAGATCAAAAAAGTTATATTAATCATTTTTTTAGTTTCAGTTACAAAACCTTTTTACTGTATGTTTACCATTTATCAGATGGGAATCTTTTTTAAGACTTAAGACCAGCCTCCAAGTTCTGCAACGTCTATCAAACATCACTACTAGTCACTTCAGTAAAACCTTTCCTTAAGGCATACAAGGTTTTTAAAACCAATCCTCACCACCCACTTACCACCGGTGTTCTGGCATTAGGCATCCGTAATGACTGAAGCACACCTGTGCTCCACAGGTGCTACGGTGTTCCTTTCTTCCAAATCTGGAAGAAACCCATCCTTACTAACTCAACAAGTCAGAAGTGACTGAAGTATAGCAGCAATTAGACTCAAACACTAATGTATGGCATTAAAATAACCTAGCTACTTCCATTATAAGGAAGACCATGGCAGGTGAGAGGACTTTCAGAAGCAGCAAGATACTCCATCTGCTCAGCATATCACTTCACTTTAATAGATAATAAATTCAGCAGAAGAGAAAGCCTGGTGCCTTTGAAAATAAGAGGAAGAGGAATTAGTAGAGAAAAATGGCAGGACTGCCAGAAAAAAAGGATAAAACATAATGATTTTTCAAAGGCAGGTAAGCCACTAGGCAGAAGCTTTTATTGCTGCTAAGATTCTGGTCTGCAGGGAGTGAGCAGCTACCCCTGAACTGATGCAGGTCAGAGCTGAGACCAAGAGAAGGAAAGTAGCTCTCAGATGGTCAGGCCAAATCCAGCTGTAACTCTGAACAGCTGTTTCAGGGTTGTCCCTGTCACACCCTCCCCTCAGTGCTCCACTACCTCCCACCACAATTCACTGATTGGGAAGCGGAGCTGTCTCCGAACCAACTGCTTTGGTTTTGTCATGTGAGTTTTTTGACAGATCAGGAAGCGTTAATTCCAGAGTGAGAGAGATGAGAGGCTGTGGGCAGTGTGGTGGCCCAGGTGACAACTAGTTTAGGTAGCTGTGAAATGACACTTTAGCTGAAAACAGATGTGTATTTAAACTGGCATTCTTGTAGAAAAGAGCAGTCTACAGTAGGTTCCTCACACTCCCTCCTGTTATCTGCCTTTGCTATACTGCTGGAAATGTTTGTGGGACTGTGGTGAAGTAAACTGAGGTAGCC